TTTCTTAATCTCTCTTCTTCTTCTTTTCTTTTTCTTTCAGCCTCCTCAGCTTCTCTCTTTAATCTTTCTTCAGTCTCTTTTAATTCCTTTTCAGATGGGTCTTCAACAATTTCAGTTAACCATGGGTAAAACCACCAATCATGGACTTGTGCTTTACTAACAAAGTCATGTTCACGAGTTCCGATAATTTCTTCTTCTCTGATATTCTTTCCAGAGTCGTAACTTCTCACAACATAATGCCATGTATAATGTTTTGGAGCTTCATAATTATAATTTCCAACCCAATAATGACCTTCAGTCCATGTTAATGGGACTTCTTTACCATCATCAAATACAACGAATAATACTTGATCAGGAACAGTGACATAATGAATTTTAAATGAAATACTCATCTTTTCTTTGTTATATAATCTACTTCTAGGTCTCACTTTAAATACCCCTTCCACGTTTGTCTACGTTTTTCTGAAGCCCTTTCTTCATCCCAGCCTTTTTCGCTATACTTTTTACGATGAAGCAAAGAATTTTCTAACACCAAGTTTAGCAATCAAATAAAGTTGGACTGCATCCTTAAATTGGTTTTACCAAAAAGAAGAAATTGTCTATTTATTAATAAGAAAAAGCAGTTTTATTGATTTTTAATAATATTTTAGCTTTTTAACATAAAGATAAAGGTCTTTATTTTCTTAAAAAAAAGGAATTATCTAAAAATACTTTCTTATTTAAAATCTAAAATTAGAATAGTATTTTGAGTAAAAAGGGTTAATAGATTGGTGAAACAGTACAATCTATTATATTTGAGAATGTACTTATCCTAAATGTTTTGATTCTTGGTACTATTTATGGTTAAAAATAAGTAATTTCTCGTAGTATGTTCTGTTATTTTATTTTTATGTTATTCTTTATTAATTCTTTATTAGTGTTTAAGTAATTGGTTTATTAAACATTTCATTTGTTAAATTCTTCATTCTTTATGAATATTTTTAGAATGACTCTGTTATGGGTAGAAATGAATCAATTTCTTTTTGAAGGATTAAAGTCCTTTATAAAATAAATACTAAAGTTATAGTATTTAGTGGTTCTATAGTAAGGGTTTTTGAGAGACTCTTTTCAGGTAGTTCTTCATTTTTTTCTTCAATACTATTTCATTAAACTCTACACTTAAATTGGATTTTATAAAAATTTTAATGTGTTTATTGATATATTAAAACTATTTCTATTGTTATTTCACTGATTGGATATGTTTTATCATAAAATTATTAAAGAATTTTGTTGAGAGAATATTTCCAATTAGTATAATGTGTTAGTGTTAAAGTATGAAGTAATACTAAGTCAATTTCTAATGAGAAAAGCATGGTTTTTAATATTTTTTGGATTGAGTCTATATAAATTCTAATACTATTTAATTAATTTTTCAGATTAATTTCTATTATTAAAGTATAAATTTGGTTTAATGTTTAGATAAATACTTTTTTAAATTCATTGACTAATCTTACTCATGTTATTAAAATCAAATTTGGGTTTGGTATTTTTTTTATTAGACACCAATCTTTTTTTCTTAATGACTTTAAGACATTACGCATAATAAGTTATTTCACTGCTGTGTATTATTTGACTCTTAACCAGTATAAAAACTTATATTACATAAATCAGTTGTTATAGTTTTTATAATTTCAATAATTTCTTATGAGTAAATAATTATATCATTGTTATTGTAAGTTCAAGGATAATCATTACGTCATACTTTAATATCCTAAAAAAGACAAGCATAACTTTTTTAAAAAATATTTCATCATTGATTCACTCTCTAAAAATAAATTGAATAATATTTGTATTTTTATTTTCTTTGGAACAAAATAATTCGTATTGTTTAATCTTTGTTATAACTTTTTATTAAAAGAATAATTAAATTTATGAATGTATATACTTTTCTTAAAATAACATGTCTCATCTCTTTTCAGTTTATTTTTTAACTTGTTATAGTTCTGATTTATAAGACAAACAATAGTTATAACACAAAATGAAAAGTACATTTAAAAAGATAGAATTGATTATTTTGTTGCTCTAGTTTTCTTTTCATTACTTTGTAAAACAGATATACTTATTATGTTCAACATCATCTAATAATTCTTCTTCTGTCATCCCCCATCTATAGCAGTAATATGGGACTGCTCTCCATAAAGTTACTCGTCTTCTATGTCCTTTTCTTAACTTTTCAATTCTTTTTTTTATGGTTCTTCTTATTTCTTGTTTTGTACATATTTTATTTTGATTTCTTTCTCTTTCTTTTGTAGTGCCTTCATTACTTCTTTCTTTATCCAACTTCCAGATTGAATCTAATTCATATTCACTAGTATCTGATACTATTTCTTCTTTAGAAGTACTTGACTCAGATTTTTTAAGAATAGGAGAGATGTTTAGAGTATGACTATCTAATTGAACTAAAACTGGTTCCACTATAGTTGGCTTAGAGATAAAGTTCATTCTCCTTGGCTGAGTATAGTCTTCATGGAGCCGACTCCTTGGAGGTTTTTTAGGAGTAATTTCTTCCACACGTTTCTTCCGTTCATCAATTCTAGTTTTACCAAATATATCCTCTGAATCACCGTTAAGCAAGGAAGAAGCAAGTGAAGTAGAAGTTGTTGAACCACTTTGTAAAAGTGATCCAATTAAAATTTTAGGGTTAAAACTAATTTTTTCATACCTCTTCATTACTTACGTTGAGATAATTCTCTTGTGAATGTTAGTCTTATAATATATGTTGGTTTCTTTTCTTTTCAAATTGTCAGATAAGAAAGTTGTGACAATAAGATTATTCTCTGCATCTTAAAATTTTATTTAAACTTAGACTTACCAATACCACAACAATGCATTTAAACCTAGAAAAATTTTATTTGTCTATAGTTATTCGTTATGTTTATACGACCACTACTGTCATGGATTTAATGCTTGTAAATAAAAAGTGTTATGAAGCAGTACTTTTTATTAAAACAAATCCATTAATTCTTCCTACAAAAGAGAATAGAGATGTTTTTTATCAATTTAAAGCTGTTGACTCTTTTTGGAAAGAGTTAACAATATACCCTAACTTACAAACTGTTAATATATTATCTGATTTCATTCAACATTGTTCAAATGAATTAAGAAGGTTTGATCAAATACGAATAGTTGAGTCATTAGACACAGATTTTAGTAGAAATAATTGGATTTGGTCAAGAGTAATAGAATTAAATGTAATTGTTAAAGAAATTCCAATTGATATATCACAATTTCATTTTTTAAAAAAGTGTAGAATAGAAATGGAGATAAAAGAGCCATGGAAAAAGTGTTTTGGAGATGAAACACAGAAACTTGAGTTATTAAGAATAAAAAGTTCAATAGAATCAGTTGATATGACATTTATTCCATTATTATTATTAAAGTATAATAAATTTGAACATTGTGTTATTCAAGTTATGGGTGGAAGTATTTCAACAAATGAAATATTATGTACGTTGCTTCAATATAAACGAGATTTTTATAGAAATAAAGATAGAAATAATATAAGAACATTTGAAATATGTTGTGATTATTGGAATGGAAATGATTGTATTATTCTTCCATATGAAAATAAGTGGACGTTCTGGGATTGTGGTATTTCTTCATTTAAAGAAGTATTTAATCAATACTTACCATTTAACCCATTTTTCTTTTCTCAAAAGAAACAACAAATTGAATTTAAAACTGAATGGGATATTAATAATATAATAATTAATAAACCATTAAAATTTATTTTTTCAAGTCAATTTAATTGGTATAAAAGTGAATTAAATAAAACATGTATTAACCAAATTATTGAAGAAAAAATTATTGATGTTTGTAAAAAGACAAAAAATGGAAATGAAAGTAAACGATTTCAAACAATAACATCAAATTCAAAAAATATTTTGATTCAAAATAGTAAAATTAATATTAAAGACAAGTCATTGTATTATTTAAAAATGGAACATTCAATTATTTCATCTTTTCTTTATCTTCCAAACTTAAAAATATTAGAAATTGATTACTTACCAACTTCTTTAGATGGTCTTAATATATCTTGCCTTATTCTGAATAATTGTCAAGATATTAACTGGAATCAACTTTCTTATTTATCTTCTCTTCGTACATTAGAAATTTATAACTTTAATTCAAATGATAATTTACTAATAAATAAAATATCTGAGCTTCAAACATTAAGATTAGACCATGTTGTTTGTGAAAGAATTATATTTCCTAATAGTATTAAACAAATATTTATGTATAAAGTTAATAACCATTCAGCTATTATTGACTTATCTGAGGTTCAATTAGAAATATTAAGAATAGTTCATTGCGATTCTTTAAAATTAAAAATTAATTACATTAATATGTTTCAGTGTTATCATTCATTGATTAAAACAAAAGGGAATTTGACTGATAAATCATTTGGATCTATTCAAATTATTCAGAGTGAGTGTTGTATTGATATATTACAAAAAAAGATTAATTCTATTTATCCAATAATGAATTAGTTAATTTTGATATTATTAATAAGAAGTTTTTTTTAAAGACTCAAGAATGAATAATGGAATATTTTAAATACCTAATCTCATCTTTCTCATTTATATGATTAAAATATGGATTTAAATGAAACTTTAAATAAACTCACAGTGAATGGATTAGTATTTTTGTTATTATTATACACTAATGGAAGAATTAATTTTAAATTAATTAATGGGAAATATGAAATTGATTATATCATTATTAAAGATAGAATATATAACGAAGACTTGTTATATCTTAATGGATTAAAATATATTAAAAAAGAATTTGGTTCATGTTCTAAAACTTCAAAAATATATCTTATTAGAAGAGTATATGTTGTTATGGGTCTTATTGATTTGTTAGATTCTTTTAATTTCAAATGTGAAATATTTCCTAAATTTTCACTTGAAGGAATAATTTTATATGATATATATTCTATAGAAACACCATCACACGAAATAATAACAACTGAAATACTCTGGCGTCTAGGAAGAGAATTATTAAATCATATTGTCTAAGTGTTTATTAAATTGAACTTTCTGTTTTTTTAAAAAAAAAGAATAAACATTAACAAAAACAATGCATTATATTAATTAGAGAAGACTACATTTATGCTTATTTGTCTCCTTTTTTGATGATTTTGAAAAGAGAGAATCTTTGTAGTTAACTCCTGCACGAATTGCTTCCTTAAAAACATTCACTAAGTTCGATTGAGTTAAGGCTGAACATTCCATAAATTTTATTGCACCCATTTTTTGAGCCATCTCTTGTCCTTCATTGAGAGAAATAAGTTCAATTCCCTTGTTTTTAATAATCTGTTGTTGTTCATAATCATCTCTAATATCTGATTTTGTTCCAATTAATAAAAATGGAGTATCAGGGCAATGTGTTCTAATCTCTTTTACCCATTTTCCTTCTACATTTTCATAAGAAGCCTTTGACATGATTGAATAACATATTAAAAAAACATCAGTTGAAGGATATGACAATGGTCTTAATCTATCATATTCTTCTTGTCCTGCTGTATCCCATATTCCAAGATTAATTTTATTATCATCAACAACAACAGTAGCATTGTAATTCTCAAATACTGTTGGAATATATTCATTTGGAAATGCATTGGTTGTATATGAAATAAGCATACAAGTCTTTCCTACAGCTCCATCTCCTATTATAACAAGTTTTATTGGTTTAATAGACATTTTTGATTAATGAAAATAATTTGTTAGACTTCAGTTTAAATATTCTATTAAAAACGGGAAAAATTAAAAATAGAAGTTTCCCGTTTTTATTTGAGTTAAACTATTATTAAACTGTTAAGGTTTTTTTGATTTATTAATATTCTCTGTGTTTAATCTTTGAGTTAATCAAAAGTTTATGGAATAATTATTAATAAAACCCCTTTTTCTTTTAATGTTGTATTTTTTTGTGTTTTAATAACTTATTATTGGCTATCAAGTATTTCTTTTTTTTTTAATTATATTTAATTTCATTCAAATTTACTTTGAGTTATGATTCATAACAATGTTTTATAAAAATGTTAAATTTAACATCAGTTTCTTTGTTTATGTTTTATACTCATAGTTATAATCAATAAAAGAAAGTTAAATAGAATAATAGTCATATAACAGAACCATTCAAAGAGTTGTTCCTTCAAGTTAATTAAACAAATAGGTAAATCCTCTACTAATTTAATGAAAAGTTATAGAATACAGTTGTATTCTCAAGTTTATAAGGTTCCTCTTTAATTTAATGGGATTTTCATCAATATAAATTTGGTTGTTCAATATTTTTTATAAAATGATATTTCATAAATATTATCTAACTTCTCTTTATTAGAATCTTCAGAGAAATTTTTATTGAAATTGAGTCATTATAATCTACCAACAGATTTAAAATGAAAAATATCCAAAAATTATATATCATCACCATAATATTTTCTTCATTATAAAAAGTTTTAGACAAAGAATTTCTTTTTTTGTAGAATATAAACCAAAATCACATTGTATACTTATTAAAAGGTTTAAAGAAAAAAACATTATTCTGTGCAAATCATATATACAACATATACAATCAATATTGTTGAATATAACATTAAATATTTGAAAGAAAATCAACCAAGAAATAAACAACCAAGAAGATTTAGAAGAATGAATGATATAGCAATAATGTGTAAAAGAATGTTAAAAGTAATAGAAGGAAAATGGGTTAATAAAAGAGAAATAAAAAAAAGAAAAAAATGAATAAGAAAATATGAGTTATTTATGATGATAATAAAGATAGTGTCAATAAGAAACAGAAAATATTAATATCAACAAAAAATGAAATTAGAATAAAAATGATAATATAATAAATAAATTGAAAAAGGAGAGTATGAAGAAATAAGCAGTGAAAAGAAAAAGAATAATAGACAACAAAAAGTAAATTCAGTCTAAAATAAAATGAAAATAGAGAGAGTTAAATAAACACAAAAAAGAAATGAATAAATGAGGTAAAACTACACAAATAATAAATAAGAAAGAAATAAAGAAAAATATAAAAAAACAATGAAATAGAGTAATAAATGAAATAACTTTGATGATGACATTTGAAGAAAAGAAATAGATATATAAGAAAAAGAAGAAAGACAATAAAATAAACTAAATAGTAATTTCAGTCAATGGCATTGTAAATAAAGAATATATTAAAACAATTAAAGAATTAGAAAAATGAAATTAACAATCTAAAATAAGTTAGACATTTGTCATTAGGAGCAAGAATGATGTCATGGAACATTTTTCTATAAAAATAAAAAATATCCAATAAGATTACTAGACAATGATGAAGGTGTGTGACTAGTCTTGGATGAACAAAGAACAATAGAAATTAATTCTATTAATACTTCATTAATTATTTTATGATTTTTTGATATTTGTTTATACTCTATTTTCGTTTTATATAACAACATTTAATTTTTAATAATATTAAAAACATTCACAAGTTTTATTAATTAAATAAAAAATAAAATTAATTAAATGACAAATTTATTTTTTTATTACCAAATGAATATCAAAACTTTGCAAACACAATAAAACAAATATACAATAAATAAGTATTAACACTAAAAAAATAATTAAAAAAGAATTAAAGAATATAAAATGGAAATAGAACAACACATCCCTTATTTTCTCATTCCTTACATTAAAGAACGTGAAGACATTGATAAAGTTGTGGTTATTGGTAACGTTACTCCTAAAGTGACTTTAGATGATTTGTACTCAATTTTTGAGAATTTTGGTATTATTCTTGATTTAAAACAAATTAAAACAATTACCCATCCAATTCTTTGTGGGTATTACTACATTCTTTATGAAGAAAAAGATAGTACAGAAACATGTAAATACATTGAAAAAGCTGAACTTGGTGATTTACCTTTATCTGTTTTTTTAATGGAAAAACCCGAAGATATAAAAAAAGTTGAGGAGATTTTTAAGAATGAAGACAATGAAACAACAAACTCAAAGAATAACTTTAATTCTGAAAGTAAGGCTTCAACAAAGTTAAGAAAAACAATTTGTGTTCGTAATATTGGAAATGCTTCTGATGATAAAATTCAAAAATACTTTGAAAAGTGTGGAAATATTAACTTAATGGAATTTAATACTGGAGAAACTACTATTAGACAAGTTACTATCGAATTTGAAACTGAAGAGGCTGCATTACGAGCATTACAAATGGATGGTTCAAGTTTTAATGATCATCCTATTAGAGTTGTTCTTTCAAATAAAGTAATTAAATCAAAGAATGAACATAAACCAATTGTTACTAAGAAAGAAAGTGCATTAGTTGATGATTTATTAGCTTCATTAGAAAAGAAAACTATGATGAAAATAGACAACTGCAATGAAAAAGTAAAGGATTATAACAGTTATTATAATGAAAGAAGGAAAAGTCGTTCTAGGTCACGTTCAAGAGGAAGAAGTAATCATAATGACACGTATAGAGATAGATATTCTAGGAGTGAAAGAGATTATTATAGGGACAGAAGTTATGAAGATAAAAGAAGATTGAGATATGATCGTTATGACAGAAGAAATGATAGAGACCAAAGACATTCAAGAGACTATTATTATTATTTTTTTATTTAACTTTTTTTCCTAAAAACTAAAGTACTCTAATACTTATAATAATAAATTTAATTAAAGTACGAAAATAATCAATACAATAATCATGAAATGAGTTTTGTGAATAAAAACATTGTTTATACCACTTGAAGTAGTTTCACTTGTTGAAGTTTCTTGACTAGAAGGGTCTTCAGGATCAATTATATCATGAAATCCATCTGGTTGAACAATTGGACATGATTGCAAAATACATCTCTTAGTATCAAAATCAAAAAGATATCCATAATCACAATAAGTTGGAACACATTTTGTTGACCAAAACCCATTGTCATCACATTCATAACCACCATGTGCATGTGGTATTTTGATTTTAGAGTCACAGTTTGTTGTTTTCTTTACAAGTCTTTTATTCTTTGGATTACATCTAGTCTTATATTTTTCAATAATAGTAAGAGTAGATTCAATGAAAGCAGAATAATCATTAGAAGAAAACGAAAATATATCAACTCTTTCATCAACAATATCAGGGAGAAATTCTCTTGGAATTGTTTCATTGTAATTATAATTAAATCTAAAAGTTTCAAAGAAACTCAAACTAAGACCATATCCATAACCAATAAATGGGTCTGAACTTTTTCCAAGATATTCATTCAAAAACAAAACAGTTGTTGGTGATTGACCAACTTCAAATTCGTCAATATTTCCATTTGGGTCTCCTCCAAATCCAGTAATAATAGCACTTCCTCTTTCTTTTAATCCTTTTGTAAAAATTGAACATCCAGAAAAACAAAATGAGTCAGTGTAAACAACAATATCTGTTGGTTTTCTTTGATTATTAATAAATCTTTCTATTATTTCACCATTTTCATCTATAAGAGATGGCTGAATTATTTTATGTTCATTATTTCCATAGTTAATTATCCTAGGATTCATATACCAATCACCTAATACATCTACATTTGTTTTTTCTCTAGGCTGACAATTAGGAGGATTCTTAATTGATTTTGCTTCTACTTGTTTCATGACTTTTTCAGTAAAATTACTTATTCTGGCACTAACAATCAAATTAACGTCATCATGAGGTGCAAAGATTTTTTCAATGTTTTGGGCATATGTGACATATCCCCCTCCATTCAATGGAAGAATAATTTGAATTGGATATGAATTTTCATCAAACAAATTAATGCATTGTTTAATCACAAGTTGATAATTCTGCCAATCATCATCAGGAGCAAAACTTGTTAATACAAAAGTATTTATTTTCTTTGTGGTATTAACAGAACAACTGACCATTTTGTCATTTGAAACATACCCAAGATCTTCATTTTTCTTTAGTTTATTGTAACCTCTGGAAAGAGAATCAAATACATCTTCTGGTAATAATATGTTTCCAATACCTGAAGTATATAATCCAT